TCATTCGTCATTTTGATTAAGTGGCTAATTTCACTTTTCGTCATTGTGTTTCTCTCGATAAGGCCGTTGTGGCCACCTCATAACGAAAACAATGCTTGATTTATGAACGTTTAATAGTTTCCCTTACCACTACTTTTCAGTAGCTTTTTCTGTGCTTCTGAATCAAATTCGTTCAAATAAGCGGCTGTTCAAAAACCGCCTCTGCTCGTCACATACAGCAAAGAGGTTTTCTCAATACTAAATCTCCTTCTAAGTCAACTGTTATACAGACTTATCAAGATAACAGAAGCCGGTTTGCTTTTTGAAATGACTTTGAGAACCGTCGCTGGAGACTTTAATTCTAATTCAGAATTTCCCATCTCCATGGTTTCCTAACCCTTCCGTGGCCACTTGAAAAATTGACCGTGCTCTCATGAGGTAGAGATATTTCCACGGAATTAGGGTACCGAATAATGTTATTAGAGCTAATCGAAGTGACTATGAATGTCTAGGTTTTTTGTAAGGCTAAAAGAGGTTGCTACAAAACAATTTTTTGGCAGTCCCTTCTGCTAGGCGCCGTAGTTTTTCTCTGAGCCTCAGTGATTCGAGCTTAGCGGTTTTCCGGTACGATGCGTAACACTTCGTAGTCTCGTGGAGTCAAATCGAGTAGAGTAGAAACTGTAAAATCCCTATAAATCTGCGGACGTTTTTAACGCACTCGTGAAAACTCATCAATAAATAAAGATGTTGATTATTTTTCTCAGGTTAGATGAATGTCAGTTTTTTTAAAATCTTACTTTTGTTATCAATGCGTTTTTACAAAGTCAGAGAAATTCGCTAGCTGTCGACACGAATCGTCATGTTATTTCAATGCTTTCCATGAGATCACAATGTTTAACGTTTTGTTTTCTGCCTTCTATAATTTTCACGGCAGGTTCACGGTCACGGCATTTCACGGCGATTTGCGCTCCCCAGATCAACCCCGCTGACGGGTGATTGCTGTGGCAAAAAGATCGATAGAAATAGCTGAGAGACGTGCGAAACAAAGGACCCGCATGGTGTGGTGGTGAACGCGTTACTCCCCGGAAAGGACAATAGCGCGTTCGTTTCCCACCATAGACACCTGCGGTCCAGAGTTTTGCAAATATCTCAGCAACGTTGTGGTTGTATTTCGCTTTCCATGAGAATCTAACCGTTACGTTGCCTATATTTCATGGATTGTGAAGAGTTTTTGTACCGTTTTCTAAGTGTCATACCTGCAGTGAATAAAACTTGGTAACACTTACGCTGTCCGTATTCTAGCCTAGCTGACCAGAAGAAGAGTTCTCTGTTCTTCTTTCCATTTGTCATGTCTGTTGTCGCCGAATAATTGAGCATCTATGCATCGCTTTAGAAGCATAGTCAATTAAATCACTGAACGAGATATTTTTAGTGGTCTTACCCAACGTCGAATGCACGAAGTTTTCCTTCCAAAACAAATTATTGTGGAAAATATAATGCACAGATCTCTCAGTATTCATAAAATATCATTGCCAGTAGCACCTGAGTAGATGAAAGAATTGGACGAAGTGTCATGTTGAAGATTTATGTTGAAATCAACGTTCATCTGTTTATCAACCGGTTGGTCTCTTCTTTAAAAGAGCGCAAATGTCTCATGATTATCGTCTCGCAGTGAGTTTGTCCTTCATTTTCTATTTATTTTAATGAATGCCGTACGAGTAGATAGAATATTGACTTCGCGCTCATCTCAAGTCGTTCAGCACAACATCATTGTCTTTATCAAGAACTCTTGCTCTTAATTTGCAGTCCTTTTCTCAGCTTATTTTCTTTCGAAAGACATTTTTGCTTTGCTGGTGCTTTTCGAGTAATCTATGATGTAAAAGCCAGTACAACAGTTAAGAATTTTCCAAACATCCGTACATCGTTCACCTTTTTCAGGTTTCACCCAAAGTTTAGCAAGATGATATCGTCTTGTTAGACTTGATTCCTGGTTCGAATTGCTGAAAAGCGATGGAAAAGTTGTTCGTCTTGGTGAAATTGGAATAGAATCGGCTAGAACCATTTTAAGGAAGAGATATATTCTTTCGTTGGCATTCATAGAACAACTGTAATTACGTTCTCACAGTTGAATCACGATTTTTCTCGAATTGGCAGTTTTCCGTATACACAAAAGCTTTCGACATCATCGATGAAAGTTTGGCAACCAATTCACCTCCTAGGCTGTTCAATTTCTCAATGAATTGTTCGCCAACTTAGACTATACATAACTCGAGTTCTCTTGATAAATGCGTCGTGCTTAGTACAGGAACAGAACCCTCTGTAGAGTAGCTTTCTTTTAGATCGGATCATTTTCCAACCTTAACTGAAACCACTCGTTGATCTCCATGTTGAACCCACTAGTAAGAATTTCTTAACAACCAGTTCTCGTGACTGTCATTCATACCGGAAGGTGTGTCATGTAGACGTGCAATGGCGGAGATCGCAAGAAGAAGAATGCGATATTCTTCGTGTCTCTCACTTAAACATACCTGTTGGGCACGGAATGGGTTGCAATAGAGAGTAATAGAGATATTTATGTAATACAACACTGACTAACTTCAAAACAACGAAACGGCGATTGTTTAAGAAAACTGTTCGCTATGCGAATAAACATTTATGTGTCAAATTTTGTCTGTTGAGGTTGTGATAGTGCTTCACTGAATCGATTGCGTGTAAATCCCATTCTTCAAGACTCTGAAGGTGGTGTGACAGCAGAAACGTCGGAAAATATTGCGTTGAATAAATCTTGCTGCAAACAATAACGTGTTTGCCCATCCAGAAAACAGAGTGTCATTGATAAAGGTCCAGGTTGAAAGAAATTTGATCCTGGAATAGAGACATTATTGGCTCACCTAATGACAAACAGATAGTCATGATTAAGGTGAGATGTGAAGTGATGCCTCAACTACTGTCACGTGTTTTCATGCCTCCCAGAAAGCTATTTAACGATTAGGTTTGAAACAGAATAGGAGAATAATATACGAATCTCTCTGCTGTACCTGTGCACAATGCCAGTCATCTCTTTGGAAAAGGTTTCAATGGAATTTCAATGGAATGACGTTTATAGAGAGACATACAAAGAAATTTCTGTGGGTCCAGCAATAAGCCATTAGATTTTTGCCCACCCATAATCCTAGACTGCTGTTCGCTTGGTTTTTCCTAGCTCTACAATTTTCCTGTGATTTTGCACTAAGGTTTCGAGATTTGCATTCATGTGACGTTCTGTAATGAACACAATTCGTCTCATGAAAGATATGGTGATTAGGCTTTTATCAATTTAGAATCGTCTTTAGATTCCAAGGGAAACAACACTCGAAATCTTTTCAAAGTATACATTTTATGTCGCAGTAACCTTTTGAGGTTTAAATATTGCTTGTTCTTTCTTCCACGGCCTCTGTTTCTACTCATTCGCTTGCAAATTTCGATAGAGAAATACCAGTAGATATGGGAGGAATCTCTAAGAGATTGTGAAACGTTGCGAACGCTATCGTTTTTGGTGAAAAAATCTCTAACTTTCTAGTAGTAGTGCAAAATAATTAATTCTTCGGGAGCAGCAATATTTTCTTCTTTCAAGAAAACTGAAAAAAGTCAGTTAACTTCTTAAAATGGCTTTGGTAGGATACAGGCATAAAGCAGTACAGTTAAGGTTCGGAACGCATTACGAAATTTCTCATATTTGTGGTTGTTTCTACAATACCGGCTATTAACCGTGCCGTATTTGTAAAATTAATGGATGACCAGGTAATAAGGATAGTGGCTAAGACCTCGCTTACTATCTTTGGCATGCACTGTGCATTCGACTCCAGTCGTGGGATCGTAAAAGCTGCCTACCGTTCTACCAGTTCAGTGTTTCTGTCCTCTCAAACAAGTCTGTTACCGCTTCGCCTAAGCTGTATGGATTGAGAGTATGTTTAGTCCCTGAGCACGGGTTTGAATTTAAGACCGATTCTGCACGGTATTACAAGACAGATCTAGCCATTGCATTCCACGCACCCCTATTAATATAGTGCCTTAGATAAAAACGCTAAAGAAATGAAGGAAAGGACAAAAAAATTGGGTCCGTGTTTAATTCATATCATGCTTTGAAGTTCTTCAAAACAGTGATTCCCGAAAAGTATGGTTTGGTTTCGGACAGAATGAAGGTGATGACGTCAGAGCAATCAATAGATATGTTTTGCGTTCTAGTGCAAAGTTAGTAGATACTGCTTCTTCATGATCTTTAAGGGAAGAGAAATGAACTGACGTATATTTGGCTCGTTTTCGGCCCAATGTTCGTCCACTCGTTATAATGTGGTTTTAAACGATGCTTTTTCAGATGTCTGCACTTCAACGTGCTCTACTACTGATGATATGCATGATAGGTATCTATTTTAATTCTAATTTGTGGTGACCTTTAAGATAGACGTCTTACTGTGCGATCAAATCCTTATAAATGATTAGATGAATGTGCATGGCGACATTTAAATGACATAAAAGTTAATTGCATTTCAGTTATTCCTTCTCAATTTTTGACGCTTTCAATAATTTCGATAATATTTTGGTTGTACAAATAACATACTAAACATGTCTTAACTGTAGTCTTGGTAAGCCTGAGGCACAGGATGGAACCCATGTGTACAGCAATACATTTGTAACCATTGCGCTACACACGCCGAACTTGAGCGAAGAACATTATTGCTTTTTGTCTCACGGCCCTTGGATCAGTACAAAATTTTATCTGTCATCTAAATATTGAGGCTTGTAGTGCAAGAAACTTAGAATTTGCCTTTAATTTTGTTTAAATACCTCATTCATGTAAGCATCGTTATCGACAGAAGTCAAGGGGTTAGCTGATAAATCGTTTACATACCTTTAGCGAGTATATCGTTCAGTGGCGTGCTAGTCCAACACACAATTCCTTCCAATATTTGAAAACAAAAAAGACGCTACCAGTAAGATAAGAACAAGCAATATTTAACTTCATAGAATCATTAAAACGCATTATGAGAAAGGACCCTCTTTTCGAGGTCGTCAGAAACAATGCCTTATTCTTTCAAATACTGCATTCGACTTCTTTTCTATTATTGACCAATGAATTGTGATATTCATGCCTTCACTGTGTCGTGGAGGGTACTCATTACGGTCAACAAAAAACTTTGCTACCATAAAGTTCAAATTTAATATATTTCCGACCAAATCTCTTTTATAGATACACAAAGCATTTCAATAATGGACACCTACCTATCAGAAAAACAGGTAGCACGACGGCGAGGAATGCTAAACGTTCGATTTCGACCACTTATGCATTTACGAGGAGAAGATGATTGGGTACGACATTTGTTCATTTTCTTAAATAACAATTCCTTTGATCACCTTTTTCTCCATTTGCCATCTTCAGTGGATAATGTTTATAGTATTGTTTTACTGGGCTTCAGTTCTGTAGGCTAGTTTACTTGCTACTTGATATTTGAACGGCCCGTCCTCACTAGTTGTGCGACCCCCAGCATAATCACCACTTTTAGGAGATTTGCTGGTCAAGCCATTGTGGTTCCCTGGAAACCCAAGGTCAGCCTGGCCTAAGTCTACCCCAGTAGCCTAGTTTAACAAATTAAATGTAGGTTGGGGAAAAAATGTAGCCGATTTTTAACTTTGACTTTCAAATACACGTATCAAAGATCTCCCCGAGCTGAATCTAAATGAAAATTTAAATGTACACATCCCTGCCAACGAGATTCTTCAACCTGATTCAATCCATCATTGTGAATTCTTAAGTCAATGGAGCACAAAACTCTAATGAAAGCACATTATATGGCACCATTCTTGTTGAAGATTTTTAAAATAACTCTTACATTTATCGAAATGAGCGCCCTTGTTAGTCAGCAAGATGACTCTATTCGTGTTCTCCTACTACTAAAATTCTCTTTCCCCTGCCGAGAAAGTCTAAAAATAAAGGAAAAAATCATACAAATGAATGGAGCTGAATACCAAAATAAAACAGCGCTGTGTTCTCCCCCACATTTCCAAACGCTTTAATTCCATCTGAAAATTCGTACTCTGTGCAGATCTCAGTACTTTCCTCCCATTCGTTGATCTTACACTTATCATTCAGAAGCGAAATTTATTCGGAACGAAGGAAAGTAAAAAAAAAAGTAACAAAAAAGGAAGTCAAAGAAAATCGAAACAGCTTTAGCTAAATGCTCATCGGTTTATTGGAGGAATTTTGCATTCTATTCAGCACGTTGTCTGAATAACGCCTTTCTGGTTAGAACAACCAAGAAGATTTTCATTACATTAATAATACTTCCACATAGAAAAATTATGGTACAAGTAGAGGATCAACTATTAGTCTGTTTTTTTTTAAACGTTCACCTATCGGTCTAAAACTCTCACGGCTCGAAGGCGATTTTCTAGCAGGTTAAGTGCGCCTACATATGGTAACACATGTAAAAGTAGGTATCCACTCTCTTACATTTATCATAAAATGTTGCAAGAAACTAAGCACAAGCTCAAAAGCTTGCGTCCTGAAATGAATCAATATTTTTTCGATCCCTTTTATGTGAGAGATCTTTAGCGTGAGGATTGACAGCATATAGAGGGTTCATATGCAGTGAAAACAGGTTAAACGAGCGAACCAGATTAGCCCAACTGCTTGTCCTCAGACGTGGGTAAATTCCAGGGTTGGGCTAGATGTCTCCGTTGCGCATGATTATCTTACTACATAACGCTCACGCCGATTTTAGCGTTCCTGCCGCAACGCCTTAATTTTCAGCCTGTGTAGGTATACTGGTTTCCTGACAAATCATGATAGTTTTTTGAAGAACGCTTAAAACTTAAGAACATTGCAGAATTGTAGAAGAGACTCGAATTTGTTTAGAAGTGCTCCAAAACTTATGTTTTGTGCATCGCTCTATCTTTTGTACCTACCCGATTTCACACGATAACTATGATTTGTCATAGCGATTACACCTCAAATAAAAGGCAAGTGCCGGTCAAATTACTGGTTAATGAGTTTGTTTCAAGTCAAAATGCAAATACGCACAGATTTACTAAAGCATTTATTGTATTTCTAAGTGGACAACTTAGCTTCTCTCGGCCGATGGACGCCACAGTATTTGTACTGGATAAGCCAACGATCATAAGGTCGATAAGAAGAAGTATAAGAAAAGGGTTCTGTAAGCTAAAATAAACAACCAGAATAAAAATAACCCCTTTGGGGCTCAGACCAGCAGTTATACGTTATCCGTTTTATGTAAGCATAGACTGGTAATCACATTCGTTAACACACGCGTGGAGATTACATTCGGCACTCCAATTTAACTAAGAGTATATGATCAAGTTACTGAAAAGTGCACAAAAACCGTTTAAAATTCTTCTGTGACAAATTAGGTCCATGTCCACTCTAAGAAAATCCAGAAAATACTCCTTTCACAAATGCAGACTTCACAAATACTTCACAAACCCTTTTACCCATCCGTACATATGCTCACTTCGTAATCAGTGGAAGTGATGCACCTAATACAGAATAGGTTGTATTCCTCGTGTCTCTTTGACGACTGGGTCCTATTGGGAAGCTGCAACCCGCGACAGTAACGAACGAGTCAAAATTCGCTAGTACCCGCTCGGCCGACCAATGATTGAGGTGACTGCAAACGATACGTATAAGGAGCAATAGTTTCTATGAATCTTTACCAAAATAAGGTTTCTTACCAACATTTATTTTTTCACTTTTAATTTCAGAGGAAACAAATAGGAATGGAAGCATTGGACAATCAAATGATGGACGAAAATGGAATTGTATACGACCTCAGTCCTACAAGAAACACTAAAATTTCCAGTATTTTCACAGGACCTACAGGATCAACGCATAGAGGCTAAATACTTCATTTGAAGTCATTAGATAGCCTTTCTTCTGTGCTATTGTAACTACAATCTCTTCACCCTATGTTTCAATTCGTGTGTCATCCAATTATCGCCTTTCTTCACATTTCCAGTGTATTGCAAATATTGGAACGAATGCTGATTGGTAAAGCTTAAGTTCTTGTGCAACCACTCGATCGAATTCCAGAGACTTCGCTTTGATCACTACTTTTAAATGATAGTCGTCAATAGCCACAGAGACGTAACAGTGCTCAGCGCACTTGCTTTCCTAGAAGAAATGTAGTAATTATGAGTATTAAGCAGGAGTTTAGAACAAACGAAGGATGAAGAAGCGAGCATTAGAGTAGGTACTACTCACTTTTTTGTTAACCATAGAATGTTTAAGGCAGAAATGGGAAACTTAGCTATTCACCTATGGTGTTTCCTAAACTAGTAGACATGGTTGATTCCACCCTACAGATATATGCCGACTCAGTTGAAATTTTTCTTCTGAAAACGCAGTGTTTGCTCACTCCGGTGGCCCGCGTTTTTCTTCCAACTGTAATCCATCTCAAGTACATCTAAGATTCGACTAACCTCTTCTAAAGTAAGATATCGCATTCATGAAGATTTGTAAGCCAGAGATAAGTTATCAAAATGTGGCAGATTCACTGGTTTGAAGCTATTCACCCGACGTGACGTCGTTTCACCGATCAAAAGAATGAAAAAAGAAGTGGAATCCATTGCCTTAAAACCGACTTCTCCTTAACCTGGGCAACGGTTAATCAACAATTTCTTGGGTGGTTAAGCTAATATGAGGTTGCTACATGGCTTGAACACCCTAAGAAGGCAATGGCGCCGAAACGTTAGCCAAGTCAAAGTTTCGTGAAACTTTGATATTAACTTAATCTTCTGAGTGAAATAATAAACTCCATTCTTGCTTTATCTATTTCAAATTGCAACACTAAACAATTCCCTCTCATTCACTCTATATCTTCTTTTTTTTCGTTGTTTTCTTCAGCTTTGTGGAAAAGATTTTCTGGAGAGCATCTGAAACACATCGCTGAACACCCGACTCTTAGATTCCGAAAAGCGACAGAGTTCTACCAAAACCGATAATTAATGTGATTACGTAATTCGTATTCACTTCTCGGAGTAAAGAAGACAGACAAGACCAGAACTATTGAATGTAACACTTTAACCTTTATGATTAGTCAGATTTGTTAAACTGGGATAGATTTGTCCAAAATGGTCTACTTAGACAAAATCATTAGCATTATCATTTGGCTATTACCTGAGTCTTACCCGACTACTAAGTACATCTTAACGTACCCTTACTTTTTTATTGACATAGTATTCTGTGCTATACGAACGCCTTCAATTTTCAAGACATTCATCATAGAAGTAGAAGGAAGAACGTTTGACACTCGCGTAGTGCAGACGATGTAAAAGCGTGAAACGCGCATCGTGTCAGTGCATTCCTCAGCTGAATTCGTAAGGTTAGGCGACACTACGTATTTTTCGTCTTTAGCCTAATTCCAGACGAAATGCATGAATTTCATTATTATCTCATCACGTTGGAAAGAAATTAGAGTAAGAACATTACTCATCAATCTAATCAACAGTACGCGCCAAAGCAATAACTTATTCAACTAGGCGCATGAGCAATTACTGGCCATGCACTGTAAGATTCAAGAAACTCATATAAAAACCATTAGCTTCTTGATGTCCTCTAAGGCATTCAGATCCTATTGAACACAATGATCAACTCTGGCTTGCAAACGGAAGGCATGATGATTTCATTATTGTCTACACAGGATAAATAGTAATGCGTCCGATGTTTCCAGTAAAGTTGCTATGTATCCAATTCCATCCGCAGAATCATAGTACATATTTGGCATTTGTTTGCAAGGACCTAGCACTGTATCAAGTCACTGTTTCCTCAGAAAAAGTCTATTGCAACTAGTAGTAGAATTAGCAATTACACGACTCAAGAGGCATCGAAATTTTGATTTGCTGTTGCAGTAGGAACGAAGCAAAAATCCTATGTGAATTGCAAGGCATCTCTAGCAACTACGCTACGCATGATATAAATTTATTGACGGGATTACACGTAATACAGGCCAATAACGACTACCATATGAAATATTTCAACTAGAGTTCATGAATGTCAATCACGAAGCTCCAGCATCAAACAAGGTTCATCCGCAAATTCGTCAAACACATTCTTTTACGAGTTCTCCATGATGTTTGAATGTTTCCTAAAGAGGGCTTTGTTGTTATGCTCTTCTTCGACTTGTATACACTTCGCTGAAACCAGTTACTAACATCTATCATTATCCAATAAACATCGCCTCGTAGGCGAAATATGTCTCCACAGTAGTCAGTGCATGAAGTATGTTTAGGCTGAAACCGTAGAAATGATATGGTGCACATTTTGCTACTATGGTAACCAAATATCGTCGTTGTGTGGTTTCCAAGGACTTCCACAACATAACATGCATGAGATTGTCACTTAACTCTTTTTTTTTCCACCATCAGCATCGTGTATAAAAGGACATCACTGAGTGAGGATGCCTCATTCGAGAAGATGGCTCACTGAGGAAGATCTGGCTCGACACGAAGGCGAAGACGCAACGTCGAGGCGAACAACAAGCATGGACCATCGACTCGGATCACCGGCTCTGAGGAAGACGAAGACGTCGAAACGTTAGCCGAAAATAAATATATTTATCAACCTCGTGCAAGCTTATCAAGAAAGAATACATATTACTTAACTCTTTATTTACAAAAAATATGATAAATTGATCAGTGGTGATTTTATTTATCAATGGCGAAGCAAATAGAAAATCAGTATTGAGAGCTACTTTCACAAATGTTTCGTCAAGTTTCTTGATATATTCATGTGAATTTTTTTCCAATATTTCCTCTTGTGAGAACTTTCTGCTATGATCCAAAAATCACACGAAAACTGGATTTATCCTAACCCATTCCGTACAAGCGCCGGCTTTTCCTGGCTACTTCGATCGAATACGGGCAATTTCTCATTAGCTACGGACTTTCTGGTTTCTTGACAATAAAAAAATCTTTTCTTAATAATTAGAGGACTTAAGAGGCATTGATCATTTCAGAATTGTTGAAGAGAATCTGTCCTATCGTCCAACGAATATGAGTGATACATTTGCTACTATTTACTGTGTTACTATGGTCCATAGGGGGCGCGTGTGGGGTAATGGTCGGAGGCGCCCTGCAATACACGCATGGGATCGATCCCCGTGCCTGTGGCTCACCTAGCCTTCTATCCTTCCTGGATTGGTAAATTGGTACCAGATCTGTCTGAGAGGATAGCACCACTGACTGGTAACATCAGTAGGCTACAGCGAGTCATTGTAGAGGCAAGATATGAATTCAATCATCTCCAACGATGCTTAGTGAAGTCGAATGCACAGCGCATTCCCCTCGAATTGATCAACGCTGAGAGCTTTAACCTTTATCCTTTATTACTATGGTCCATATTGCAAATGAATTGCTCTCTGCATTTGGAAGTATGCTGCAGTTTATGTTGAGTCCATTTCGGTGTTTTTCACAGGCAGACAATCCAAACAATGACCATAGTATGAAATGCTGAGATATTTGCAAAACTCCAGACCGCAAGTGTATGCAGTGGGGAACGAACACGCGCTGTTGTCCTTACCGGGGTGCAGCGCACTTCACCACTACACCATCCGGGTCCTTCGTCTTGCCTGTCTCTCAGCTATTTCTATTGATCCTTTGCCATCAGCAATCACCCGTCAACAGGATTGATCTGGGGAGCCCAAATCGGTAAGGAAAACAGCGCGTGTTCGTTCTCCACTGCATACACCTGCGGTCCGGAGTTTTGCAAATATCTCTGCATTTCATACAAGTTATATTTCGCAACATACCCTGCCATTAAGAAGGAAAAGGCAGTAAATAAAAGGGTTAAGATAATGACCATGGTAGTTACAATGAAGTAACAGTTAGTTGTTAATCGAGTTTTTTTATGTTTTCATTTTACTTCGTCCGTCTTCACGTCTACTATGTGGATCCCGGCACTTCTCACATCCAATTCGTTTCCCCGCATCTACCATCCACGGAGGTCTTCCAAGTTTTTACGTGTGGCTTCGCTTGCTGCTTGAGGATTTTCATTTCATCTTAAATGTCGTGGAATACTGGTCGACCAGTTCTTCCTGAAGTCTTGAGATAGCCGGGCTGGAGCGTTCCGAGTTGGATTTCAAAAAGTGATTATTTGTTTTTCCAGAGAAGTCTGGTCTCCCGAACCCGGAGAAATGAGAGGCTTGGTTGACCCGGAACGAAATCGAACTAGTACCGTGCTCGTGATGACGGACATCACTACCACTGTGCTATCCAACCCAACGTTAGTCAAATTACCATTGGATATACCATTGGATAAATCTCCGTCGACGAAATGTTTCTTGTAAATCATTAAATGTGGAGAACGGTTTTTCCGATCTCACTCCTCCTATATTTTGATCTGTTTTCGATTAACTTTCGAGTGAAAACACGTAGTGCCGTGCAAAGGAACTATGGAACCCATTAAACGGAACGTGGCCACCATAGTGTCCATACGGTCGTTTAATCCAAGCCGCTATGGCCGCTATAGTATCCCTACGAGACGGAACGGCCTAAACTTCTTAACTACGCTCTCCCATTTTAGGCCTAGTTTTTAACAATCGGTGAGCGTTATCAATATTGGTGCCACTTGACGTTGCTTGGCGTGCTGCCATTCGCTGTATCGATCGACTTTAGCGTAGGGGCTGGCTAGTTTTATGATGACACCCCTGGCGGTATGTGCTATGCTTAACAGTTCGTATCCCGTTTTGCGTCTTGTTGCTTTTCTGGTAATATCACTGACGATAACGATGTTCAGAGTGCTTCAGTCGTTCGTCGTCGTCGTAGTAGTAGTCATTTTATTGATTTCTTACTTCTTTAACTAGAGGTTTCCTTCAAATCGAATTTTCTTTTCGCTTTTGCCATAGAGCTAGGAATTGTATTCTATGTTATCCATGATTGTACTACTGATATCACACCTTACTTGTATTTATTATGGTTTAAGTCTGCTTTATATCGATCGATAACTGGGATCGGTGAACTGATAGAAGTCTATACGTGGTCGGTGTAATGTTTTTCGGACTCTGATGAACTATTCTATCCCTAGTACTCGACGAATTACTGGGTACTGACGAGTTTTTTTCTCTTATGAAAAGCCGGTATTGTGCCAAATTCAGCTGACACGTTCGTTGTCGTCGTTGTGCTTATTACAGTGTACGAGAACTCTTGAATGTCAAATGTAAAAGAAAGCGTATTCGTAAGGGTAGGTGCCTCAGATTTTTTCTATTTCCGACGATTGTGATCATCTGAGTTAAAGTTTTAACTAGTTTCCCTCATCCTACAATGTTACAGCTGCGCTATAAGCCTCCTAATGATTATCACACTTTAGGACGTTTAAAAGTTTTCAGGTACAATTCTCTGTTAATATGGCTGCTCTCAACTATAAAACTGACGACAGCAGCGGCATGGTACTGTTGTCGGGAAACTCTCACCCCGAGCTCTCACGTCTTGTCTCGGAGTAGGCGGTTACTAGTTTTATAGTTTGATGCGACTGCGACGATTCACGCGTTCTTTTTCAGTCGTCTCGGTATTCGACTAGGCGAAGTGATCGTCTACAATAAGACAAATCGAGGTGAGAGTCTTTTAGTTCATTTACGCGTAATATTACAGTAGTTTAGTTTAGAAACCTCGGTGGATATTAAACAGTCAGTACGTGGAAAACATGTTTTTATACTGCAAAGTGGATCGAAGTGAGTTATTTCAAGTTTTTCTGCCTTTCCACTTTGGCGAAAATTTTCGGAACTAAGTTTCCTGGGTAGAACAGACTTGGGTGATGTTTACTTACTTGTGCGGGCCCCAGCATAATTTCCATTCTCCGGAGATTTGATGGTTTAGCCGTTGTGGTTCCGTGGAGTCTCAAGAACAGCCTGACGCAAGTCTGCCCCAGGCCGTCACCACCAGAGGCAGTCGTCGCCCTCGTGGATCAGGTGGAGATTTGCCACCATGCGACTAGTTTGATACCAGGACGGTGGTGGATCTTGGTGTTGGTTTACTCTTAGCTGGGTTTCCTGGTGGAAACGCCGGACTTCTCAGCTAGGGAGGCCCTGCCGGTGGGTGGATGAATCCTCTCGCTGTACGTCACGACCCGACACTCAGGAACACCTTCTAGCCACGATGAGGCTGTAAACCGTTGGGAGGTGGGTTATGTTTAGTACTCGTCAATCATTGATCAAAATACTATTCGTAACACAGGAGAGGAATCAACGGGAAAGGACCACCTAACTATTAAAAAAAGGGTTGGTTGACAGTTAAGATGTATCAAATGTGTACATTCCAACTTTAAATGGATATCTCAGTTTGTCTCGAATTTTATGAATTCGAGTAGAAAGTAATTGGAATCTATTTCATGCCAAGATGATAGTCTGATTTTCTGGAGCCAGAAATGTGAAATCCTTGTTTTTATCGATAGCGCAATGTCTCTCCCACAAGTTTGTTATCTTTTTGATTCCTCAATTACTCTAGTTATCGAAAAACTTGTAGAGCGCGTCTAGCACAATGGTAGGAGGCGCCCTGCAATGCACATGGTATCGGTCTCCGCGTCCTTGGCCCAGCAAGCCTTCCATCCCTCCAGGGTGGGCAAATTGGTACCAGACTTGTCTGTTAGGGTAGTAGCACTGGCTTGCTGCATCGGTAAGCCACCGCGAGTTATTATGAAGCCCAGATATGCATTCACCTCCAAATGATGCTTGATAAAGTCAAATGCATGGCGCATCCCTCAGAGATTAATCAACGCCGAGAGCTTTGTCCTTTTCTTATCGAAGAACTCACTGACGCCTTGCGAATATCAGCATCGTCTGTAATTTATTAAAATATGATTAGGACGAAACACCAGTATTTCAGTTCTTTCTCCTTTCTTTCTCCAAGTCCTGTGATTTTTGTGTAAAGCTGGTATATGCAGGCTTCCAGATTGGTGAATTTCAGACTATGTAAATTTCATTGCAAATATTCTACTAGCTCGCTACTAAACAGTGAAAGGTGCGAAAGATCCCAGTCAAATCCTATTTGGAAATTTTTGTGAGGTCGGCAAAGATACGTGTAGTCTAGCGTTGTGATGATATAACGCAGCACCTTTTGTGCTTTCTGATCGGTTTTGAGTGACTTCATTGATAGTACAACATTTTCTTTCCAGTCGTACCAGTGCACCGTATAGCCCTTTCCCTTCGTTATCCAACATTTGTTGTGTCTAAGGTGGTTTCATCTCGCTTAGATTCCCCTTAGAGAGACAGCATAAAGCGTTTGGTGCTGATCAACTCCTTGCATACTACATACTTTCGACTTCATTGGGTATATTAGATGTGTTTTAATGCATATCTGACCTATGCGATGACTTGAGGTGAATTACAGATGCATTGAATCCGTATCTTTATCCTTAAGACAAGTCTGGTTACAGTTTTCCCCGCCCGAATAAAAAATTGCTGATTTGCCGGCCTGAAGTGTGGGATCGAACCAAGAACCGATCCTACGTGCATTGCGCGGCATCTCTAACAGCAGCACTACAAGAGTCCCTAGACTTCCATTAATGTTGTTAAATATGTTCTATTTCTTGCCATCTATTGTGGACATAGTTTAAAAGTAACGTCGACTTTGTTAGGCTTTGCAGAAGCAGCGCAGACAAATATTCGTTGCTAGGCCAGATTGTACGTTACCCATTCACTCTGCATGATCCTAAGTTGCTATGGCTAGCACGGAAAATTTTGAGCATTTATTCCCGTTTCATTCCATCCTGTTTGTTCTCTAGGAATGTAAATAATGACGTCATGGAGTTGCTGATCCTTATCTACGCATGCAAGACGTCAATGTCGAAGACGATCACTGTAGTGATGCCGTACCTGCCGTATTCGAAGCAGTGTCGAATGCTTCGTCGGTCGTCGATTCCGATGAGACTCATTGCTGAAATGATCTGTCGTGCCGGTAAGTAAGTCTTTGTGCTTAGGAACTTTTGCAAAGAAAAAACAAGGAATAATTGGATGTTTTTTTTTCTTGGCCGTTTAAGTTGACGGTGTGTAAACCATTCGTCACGCAGGGTGCTGGGTGTGTTCCTGTATTTTATTGTACTTTAGCTGAATACGTAGATAACACTGTGGTACCTAGTACAGGAAATGTTTAGGATTTTAACCTTTTTTATTCACTGCCTATTCTTTTTAACGGCAGGCTATGTTGAGAAATATAACTTCTATAATGCTGAGATATTTGCAAAACTCCGGGCCGAAATAGGTGGGCTTCAACTTACTTACTTGGATACTTGGTTGGCCCATCTTCGCTAGTTGTGCAGGCTTCAGCATAATTTCCATTTTCTCGGATTTCTGCTGGTTTAGCTGTTATGGTTCCCTGGAGCCCCGAGGTCGGCCTGGACATTGTCTGTTCCATGTCGTCACCACTACAAGAACTCGCCGCCTTTGTGGATCAGAGTGTGATTTGTCACCATGCCACAAGTTTGATACGAGGACGGTAGTGGATCCTGGTATTGGTTGACTCTTGGCTAGGCTTCCTGATGAAAACGCCGGACTCCTCAGATTGGGAGACCCTACCGGTGGAATGAATTCCCCAGTTGTACATTGCAGGCCGACATCTAGGAACAGCTCCCAGCCACGATGAGGCGATAATCCGTTGGGAGGGGCAGGCTTCAACATCCGTTGAAAACTCGGAGTCTTTTAGGATGGGACTTTTCATTGGTTTCCACCCGTCAATGTTTTCTGTTGTATCGTCTTGCAGTGGTAGAGCATTAAAATGTTGCATTGATGAGTAAAACTATACTAATAATATAGTAATAATAAAAGTAACATTAATAATCACCTGTATCATCTGTTGTCGTTGATTGTCGAGTGACTCGAGCGGGTGCCGGTAAATCGCAAATTTTTTCCTGTCGCGTACAAGAGTAGCCCAGTGGCTTCTGCTCCCTCTAGGGACTCGTCGTGCATCATATCTTTCTTCAAGGGTCCTTGTGAAGAACTCTGACCATCGGGTCGGTGCTCTTCCTGCAGTCCGTTTGACATCCCGAGGAATCCAGTCACTAACGGCTCTTGTCCATCCGTTGTCATTCATGCGCATTACGTATCCGGCCCACCTTATCTTCGACTGTTTGGCGTACAGAATGGCATCTTTAATTTTTCATCATTGATGCAGATCGGAGTTTTGGATCCTATCCCTTACTTGTGTGGAACGGAATACTCCTAGCATCGTCCTTTCGACTGCACTTTCGATAACGCTGAGCGATCTTTCATTCTGCTTATGCAGCAACCAGGTTTCTGACGCATACGTTAGGGCAGGAAATAGCGTTGAGTCGAAAAGATGGGTGCGGAGTCGGGTGTTTTTCGTTCTCTTCATTACATCCTCGGTGCTCTTGAAAACTCCCCAAGCTGCTCGTTTCCTTCTGCTCAGTTCTGGAGCTAGGTCGTTCATCATATTGATTTCCCGACCTAAATAGATATAACTGGAACATTCGGAGATATTCGTTCCGTTGAGCGTGAATGGGGCATGCGAAACCAATCCGTTCTTCATGAGCATCGTTTTTGTGAGATTTAGTCGAAGACCAATCTTTCCCCAGGCTTCATCAAAATGTGTAAGCATTCGTTCCGCTTGGCTAATGTTTGGTGTTCTGAGAACGATGTCATCAGCAAAGCGAAGATGGTGTAAATGCCGACCGTCAATTTTCACTCCCATATTATCCCATTCCAATGTTTGCATGACATTATGGACGGTGGCGGTAAATAATTTTGGCGAAATGGTATCGCTTGCCTAACTCCTCTTTTGACGTCAATGTTAATATCGTTGTAGAATGGTGATATCTTGGTTGTGAAATCTTTGTACAGCTCACGAAGGATCTTTATGTACTGAGCAGAGACTCCTTGACTATCAAGGGCTTCCATGACTGCTTCTATTTCAATTAAATCAAAGGCCTTATGTAAATCGATGAAAGTGGGACAGCGGTCTTTTGTACTCTCGCAATACTTCCATTAGCCTTGTTACCGTGTGGATGTGGTCCATCGTACTAAATCCTTTTCGAAATCCTGCTTGCTCACATGGCTGTCCTTCGCTTAATGCTCCGTCAATCCTGTTTAAGATGACTCGAGTGAAAAGTTTGTAGACGACAAACAGTAAGCAGATTGGGCTATTGTTGCCGATATCGTGTAAGTCACCCTTCTTGAACAATAACACGGTCTTGCTGGTCTTCCACTGAATAGGCACCTTGAATTCTGGAAGATAACGTGTGAAGAGCCCAGCCAGGTTGTTTACGAGGACTGGCGGAAGATTCTTCAGGTGTTCCGATCTGATCATGTCCAGACCTAACGCTGTTCGATTTTTCATCGGCGAAATGGCATGTCGGATTTCGGAAGGGGGAACCGATGGTACAACATATCCATCCTCCTTTATTTCGTATGACGGAAGGTGGTCGTAGCTATCGAAGAGGTCCGAGTAGTATTCGTGAACTATTTTCTCCATTGCCTTTCAGGACGCTGTAACTGTTCCGTCTCGGCGCCGAAGTGCAATCATTTTGGTCTTGTAATTGCGAAACTTCGATTGGCTCTGCGAATGCTTTTCCCACCCTCTGCAGCTTCGACCATTACTGCTGCTCTTCTTTCTTTAAGATCTTCTTTTATCGCCAATCTGCACTGTTTCGCAAGTTTGGACATTAGTTCGCGATTGCCTGCAGCTTGTGCGATTCCACGTTGTCGTATAAGCTCGAGTGTTTCTTGAGACAGACGTGTTTTGGTGACTGTAGAACTCTCAGGTTTTATAATGCTAACGTGAAGATGTTTAATGAGCTGATCGTATTCTTCGTCGATGTTATTGACAGCGATGTTTTCCCAGCAGCCAACTAATGAATTGAATAAGTCCCAGTTTATGGTGGTTCTGGGACTTCGTTTTTTGAGTTTAGAGGCTTTTTCTCTTTTCCGCGAGGAATAGAATCTTGCACGATAGGAGGCGATGGTCTAATCTCGTGCAAAATTTTCTATTTGCTATGATGTAGTCTATTTCGTTATGGTACCCTCTATTGGGAGAGTCCCACGTCCAGCGCTGAAGGTGGGGCTTCTGGAATTGCGAGTTACCATGGATTGTCTTGGTCGCCATGATACACTTAGATATCCGCTCACCGTGGTCGTTTCATTCTAATTCGTGGGACCCAATGTGATGTTCTTCTTGGTCCAGTCTTGGTGTTCAAATCTCCAATGATGACCTTGAAGAATGTGTCGTCTTCTCTGTAGAACTTCTCCAACTCCATATAGAACCCTTCTACTTCTTCTTCGTCAAAGTTTGATGTCGACGCGTAAACGACGAAGATTGTCAAAACCGAGTTTAATCCACCTCTTCTTAATCGTAAACGTTCGATTTGGGTTGTAAGTTGTTCGAATGAATCGATGTTATGGACAAACTCGTGCTGACTAGAACGCCGACGCCGCCGACTCCTTTGCTGTCACATGTTCCGAGGAACAGTTCTTCTCCGGTGTCATCGACGACATTGAATGGGTGGCCTCGTCTCGGCCAGGCCGATGACGTAGCTTATCCTTCTTGCTTGCATGAGCAAGCTTTCTATCGAGTACTCGGATGCAAGTGTACGTGAATTGTAGGTTCATATCGTCGCCACAGTTCTTTGAAATCCAGGCAGCTTCTATTGGCCCTGAGAGTAGCTTACCAGGCTCTCCCAGAGTGGACATGGAGTTTATTTGTTGGAGGCAACTCCTAAGCGCCTCCCATATACTTCCCTGTCACTTAACTATAGGCTGTTGGCCGAATTGGCTTGTAGAATACAATCCACATAAGCAGGAACGCACCCATACACGCATGTATGAATACCCTTCGCAAATACAGAAAGTATGTGCCAAATCAGCGCAGCAGAAATAGGGAGTTCATCCCCCGGATCCACTTGCATCTCAGGGAAGCAAAGGTCGCTTTTGGTCCGCGATTAACCCCCTTGCCGCCACTTGGGGACGCGCCACGTAGCCTCGCGACTAACCGGCTCACGATCCCTCATTTGGGCAGATCCGTGGAATAATAATAATAATAATAATAACCACAATATTAACCATTTTATTTGCTGCCTGTTCCTTCTAAGGGCAGGGTATGTTGCGAAATATAACTTTTGTAATGGTGAGATATTTGCAAACTCCGGACCGCAGGTCTCTGCAGTGGGGAGCGAACGCGTTATTGCCCTTTCCTGGGAGTAACTCGTTCACCACCACACCATGCTTGTCCTTCGTTTCGCTTGTTTCTCAGCTAGTTCTATCGATCTTTTGCCATCAGCAATCACCCGTCAACGGATTGATCTAGCCCAAATCAGCGTTGTACCCAGTTAAGCTGAGGCTATAATTATAATCAGAACAGGTGATTGCTAATGGGAAGGGATCGGTAGAACAAGCTGAGAAACAGGCGAAACGAAGGACCCGCATGATGTGGTGGCGAACGCGTTACTGCCCGGAAAGGACAATGGTGCGCTCGGTTCCCACCGCAGACACCTGTGCTCCGGAGCTCTGCAACTATCTCAGCATTATAGAAGTTATATTTCGCAAAACACCCTGCCATTAAAAAGACTAGGCAGTAAATAAAAAGGTTAAGATAATAATAATAATAATAGTATTAATAATAATAATCGTAGACTTATATCAGGTGCATCGCGTTTGGTGTCGTTGGATCTCTACAAGAAAGAAATACAAGGATTTTTCTCCATTCCTGTAGATAATCTTCGTGCATCACCGTTCCTTCTTCAGTACATTAAGGAATATGTACGTATTTATTTTTTATTGTTTACAGTCTTGTCAATCATCATGTTTGCGGTAATAAAATCCCCATTCGTTCTTTTTGCGTGTTAGAGCTGATCAGTGCGTTTCCTTCATCAGAATGGATATGAAAGACATTACACTTTTAGTGTGAAACTTTATTTTTACTGGTGTTATCGAGAAGGTAGCCACAGATTGTCTGCTGGGGTTACTCGAGGCATAAGTATATTCATAACAGGCTTCAGAATGGGAATGTTCAGTTTCTTGTGTTAAACAGTACGGCTGTGTGATTGACTCCCATTGTGCATCTTGACATCCGTAAACACCTCCATACCACTATAAACCTGTGGTAACTCGAGAGAATTTATTGTATATGATCACTCTCATGAAATAAGCCTTCGGCATTGATTTATTCCTGAGGGACGCACCATGGATTCCACTTCACTAAACATCGTTTGCAGGTGATCGAATATCTGTCCTTTATTAGCACCAGACTTGTCTCGCGGTGGCCTACCGATCAGTGCTGCTATCCTCCCAGACAAATCTGGTGCCAATTTGCCGATCCCGGAGGGATTAAAAACTCGGTGGGCCAGGGACGCAGGGATAGATTCCATGTGTATTGCAGGGCGCCTCCGACCACTGCGCCACACCCGCCCTGATTAATATCATAACTAGTTGTTTTGGCGAATGTTTTGGGTTGTTTCTATGCGTACTTTATTGGATAAAATTCGTCATTAAAAGTAAAGACCGATTTCACGCGTTCTCATGAGTATGACAGCCGTCAGGAACGAATTTGGTTCTTGTTTTTTTTTTTTGGTGCTTCTCATTTCCAGCAGTGTTTCGAGTTTTGAGTAGTGCTGTTTTAGATCCCTGATTATAAAAACGCGATAATTGTTGCAAAGTCTCCAGGTGTGATGAACAAGGCCACTTCATATGCAGATCGACTTCGACTCGGTATGTTCTTAGTTGCCGTCCATTTATGATTGCTTACATTTTTTTCTTTCGCTATTTTCTTGGCCATTTCCAACGGCTGGAATTCATATTTTCTCTCAAGAACCTACTTTTTTTCTTCATTCTATCGAGTTCCACATTATTCAAAATGGTGAGGTTTAGGCAGTGAGTTTTATATTATTGATAGGAGGCAGGTATGGATTTGTTCTCGCAAAAGTGTTTCTATTTTGTGTCGATTATTTTCCACTGTGTATAAATTGGGAGCTAAATGAGGTACAAGCTTACCTGTTGTGTATCCGTCTTCTTCCCTATGGAAGACACCCAACAGTTTTTTCCTTGAATTCTGTGGTTCGCGGTTCCATGGGCAGTTGAAGACGGATGGAACGTTCCTTCCCCAGAATTGGTCGTGGAGCTGAAATGACATCCCATTTTCGTCTAGATCTTGATATTACTATGATCAGTAATTTGTAAGAAATGTGAAAAAGCTTATAAAAATCTGACATTGCAGTTCTGAGACAGTCCTCATGTATGTGTTCACTGCTACTCTTTTCCCTTGCACTCATAACATCTGAGAATAAGATGGTAATTAGAAGAGGAGGTTATCAAAATTCTGTATAGAAGGTTGAATACTGCATTATCACTGTTTTCATTCAGTAAGTAGGAGAGTCTGAGTGTATCATCGACTTTCTTTCTGATTTAAAAACAGTTTTCCGAAAACGCTTCTTTAGTAGTAGCCATTTATTTGGGGTGAGATTTTTATACGTGAACATGTTGGCAGGATAGCCTTTTCACATTAGCTAACAAGCAACCGTCATTAGTTGTCAGTTATAACGACTTATTTTCCTTAATTGCAATACTGCTGAAACGACCAAGTTTATCTTAGGTAAACCCGGATTTACCACACGAAATTCTTTTACTTTAACGTTTATGAAAGTCCTATCCTTCTGCTCCGTTCACCATTGCTGGTTTATTCGATTTTTCGGTGTAGATTCTGCAGCAGAAGCGTATAACCACATTGAAAACTATGCATATTTCATGGCCATCAAAGTTTTTTTCTTTCGTTTTAGGGGTTTTTTTCTTCTAAGCTTATTGACGACTCACACACCTAGCGCTAAACCTTTTTGTGAATTCAAAGTTTAGTATCAAAAGGCCCATCTTGAGAAGAATTTGGCGTATAATATATAGAAGTGTTTCAGTTACACTAGTTAAAGCTATGAAAGAAACTGCAAGTGTAAGAATCAGCAAGTGGTTTTATAAAATGGAAGGGTCACTTTGCAGCTATGTGTTGTCACTGTTTATCTTTTCTTCTCACTCTATCATGTTTGTTCAAATCTGAGTGATGAGGTTGTGTCTGAGTAGTTCTCTCAATGCGTATTTGAAGGGAATAGCAAATTGCATTCGTATTTTTGAGGTGTTGCGGTGATTCACGGCGAACAGAAGGATTCCGAAGAGTCCGGTCTGGAAGACGGACGACAAAGCCCTCCACCTAATTATGCGCCATTCGAATTATTTCCCTGTAAGCTTCGTTATTGTGAACTTTTACTATTCTTATGGCCATACAGCTCAGTATCTGGGTTGTAGAAATTATCCTGGTCGTTATCTTGTGTGATTCATTTCATCTGTATGGTGATTTATCACTCCTATTTCATGTATAGGGCGCCTGTAACGCAGTGGTCGGAGGCGTCCTGCAATACACCTGAGATCGATCCCCGCGTCCCAGGCTCACCAAGCCTTCCATCCCTCCGGGGTCGGCAAGTCGGTGCCAGACTTGTCTGGGAAGATAACAACAGTACCTCGACACATGGGTAAGCCAGGCCAAAGTGACCCATTGTAAAGGCCAGATATGCATTCACTCACTTCTATCGATTCTTAATGAAGTCGAATGCACGACGCATCGAGGACTGATAAACGCCTTTATCTTTATTTTATTTGTTTCTTGTACTCTTCCTTTTTTTTTTGAAAAGTTGGTAATGTGGCGAAATCCACATGGTTTCAGCTCAAGAACCTAAGCAGAAGCCTCCGTTAACCGTAGTTGGAGATGTTGGTGGACGAATTGCCATAATGGTGGTAAGCATATCGCAACAATCGTACATTCTTTTTGGATATTTTTATTTGCTACATGGAGAAATAAATTTCATTTTATGTGCAGTTTTCTGTAAATGGTGCTTGCATATATATATATACATATATACGCACATATATATATATATATATATAATGTAGGCAATCGGTGCCTGCTGTGTAGAGGCTAGACATTTCAATCTGTTTGATAAATTGCAGTTGCTAACTGTACAAGTGTATTATCTAGCACTTATGATGTTAGGTGTCATTGTTTAGAACTCTACCACTCGGCTTCCATCGACCGCATATTTCTGCAATTGAATTTGTACAGCACTGACTTTTTTACCCAATGGAAGCTAGAACTCTGTTTTTCACGAAGGATTCTTAGGAAAGCCTGGATCAATGGCAATTTTTATTCCAGGATGACATTATCGATGATGCGCAGTCATTTGTAGCCGCTGCTGAGGTGCTGAAAACTCGTGGTGCTTACAAGATTTACGTCATAGCCACTCACGGTGTGTTGAGTTCTGATGCTCCGGCACTTCTCGAGGCGTCGCCAATTACTAAGGTATGAGAAATATAAAGGTGTAAGAACGGCATAGCTTCAAATTAACTTTAATTTTGTAAAGATAAAAAGTAAAAAATTGCGAATTTTTAACAGTTATTGTCTTGTAAGCGTACTTATTAGAGCAGTTCGTTAGAGGTGGAGCAGTCAGCTCAGAAAAGGGAGTTAGTCTGTTGGTTCCTGGAGATAATTTTGCATTGGTAACGAGTTCAATGAGATTGAATTTTTCATCTTATGCGTTTTAAGTTATACAAGATTCATTCCGTCTACTCTGATACCCAGCGGATAGCATCGCTCCGTTTTATTGGAACTTTTGGTTTGGACAATAACTCAGTTTTCTTCAGGTTTTTTTTTTTGCTGTTTTCTTTCGCTTTTGAAAATGTTCTACGTTACAACCACAACGATGCTGAGATATTAGCAAAACTTGGACTCCGGGCTACATCGAACGACGGTCACCCTTTCTGGAGGCTCGCATATTACACACTGCACCACTGAGGCCTCTGCTTTGCCTTTCTCTCAGCTAGTTTCCTATCTAAAGCTGCCATCAGTAATCATCCTTCAGCAAAATTGATGTGAGAGCACAAACGGCATTGAACCAAGGCAAGCTGAGGTTGTAGTCGAAATTGTGACTCGAAAGGCTGTGAAAAATTGTAGTAGGCAGCAAATGAAAGGTTAACTTTGTTATGCGTTACTTCTATGTTCTATGTATCACTCCATGCTTTTTGAACATATCCAAATTTTGTATGAAAAAAGCTTATCTCACGGTCCACGAGCGTTGCTGTCAATCTTTGGCAGTGATTTATCAGACATGAAGTGTACATTTTGATTTTTTTCTCAAGTGTCTTTTATATCAGACGATTATATACGGTAACTTTGAGTCACTACAGCACTTGTTTAAAGTAATAATCAATTACTGGTAAAAAAAACTTGTATATGCTTACCCATTTGCGACTGTATGGACATTATGGTATCTATACATGACGGCGCGAGTGGCCATTATGTTGCACATTGAGGGCGCGTGTAGGGCAGTAGTTAGAAGCGCACTGCAATATACATGGGATAGATCTTTGCGCCCAAGGATCGCCAAGGTTTCCATCCGAGGTCGGCAAATTGGTACCAGATTTGTTTCGAAGGATAGCCGATACATCGGCAGGCCATCGTGTGTTGCTGGTAAAGGCCAGATATGGATTCAATCATCTCAAACGATGCTTGATAAAGTCGGATGTACGGTGCATCCCTCAGGGATTGATTAACGCGGAGAGCTTTTTATTTATAGTGTCCATTTCCAACTTGGTAGGTGCATGTAACTTTTTACTTCACTATATGTACATTCGATAACTAATGGAAAGCAAGTCAAAGTAAGAGAGATCAAACTAGAAATTCCATTCTCTACAATTAATGATTTACAAAAGAAACCTTTTTTTCGAAGAGATTCATTGGCCAGTAATTTGACAAGTAATTAACTGTTACTTCACTTTAATCACTATGATAAGTAGACTCAGTGTTAGGTGTAGAACCTTTTCAAAAGCCGGCCAATACATTTGCATTATGGACCATTATTGTGACCAAATAATAAATTGTAGTAGAGAAACCATCTATACCTATGAAACGATACAACCCAGGTCTGTCCTACAATCCTATCATGTTCATATTCCCCTATGTCCTACAGTTGTTGTTTATTGAAAGGTAATTTTTCATCGGAAAAAAAGCCAGAAAATCCCCAGCAGATGAAGAATTGCCGGTATAGCATTGGGTTTAGTCGTGTCTGTGGGCGGAAATATCTATGTTTCATTGCTATTAGGTCACAATTTTTTAGGTTAGAGCTTGTTTACTGGTTATGATTAGGTGAGATTTGTACAATGTAGTCGGTTTGTTCAGCATAGTAAAATTTGCTTTGGAAATGAAGCTCGTATTAAGTTACATCGGACATTTAGTTTTAGGTTTTCTTAGGTACCTGATACAATCTGATATCCTCTGTTCAGTAATGTAAGGATTTCGCGCTGGGGAAACTTCTTTCAACGTCATGCACCAAGGGGAGATCTTACTGCAGTAACCGTGACAGTTCTTAGTTAGTGTTCTTACGGTTCTGAAGTCGTCGACAAACGAAGACAGTGCAGGCACTTCTCAGCCAGCTGCGAGACAAGAACATGAACCAGTTTTTGCTGTGTATTGTATGGATAGCGAGCTGTATTTTTGTAACGTTCTGCAAATAAGATAGAAGACATATGACGAAAGCAAAGAGGATTCTCCATGACGTAGAGGATAGTTTCTATATCTCCTAGGATTTCCTTTTAGTTTTTGTTTCTTTGAATTAATTACATTGCACTGTACAAATAAGGATTTTCTTGGATCTTAACTATAGTTTTACATTCTCAGGTTATCGTCACAAACACTGTTCCTCATGAAGTCCAGAAAATGCGCTGTCACAAGATTAAGACGGTCGACATTTCGTTGATGTTGTGTGAGGCAGTTCGTCGTATCTACCATAATGAATCTATGGGTCAACTCTTTCGAGACATTACACTGGATGACTAGTAGTAGGTTAGTGTTGTCTCAGAAGATGTAGTTCTTTCAGGACTTGTTATTTCTACGCTTTGAGAAGTTGTAGTTTATGTTATTGTTATGCTAGTCACTTATTCTATTTTTGATCAGATTCATCAGCGTAGTCATCTGGTTCAACTTTTCAGGGCGAAATTTCTATTTAGGTTGTTTATGTTTGTTTCATGTATATTGTGGTTAATCACGAATTTGTTTTGATGAATTTTGCATGAAGTAAAAGATACCGTGTTCTACGCTGTGATACGTGTCTGCAACATCTTATATATCTGATTATGTGTTTGTGCCTATTCCATAATACAAAGATATATCTTTCTTTATTCTATGGATGTTAGTTGAAAGTGCATTGAGAACCGTTGCAGTAACACTGTCTGACCACTGAGAAGAGTGGGTGCAACCACACTAGTATTGCTTGCTGCACAGCTTCAGATTTCCATTATGGAGGATTAAAGCTCTGCAATAGAAGACTATTTCAGTTACAAATGTCATGAAACTGTAATAGGTCTTGTAATACTCGCCGATGTGATGCGGCTAGCTATTTGTTTGACGGTGCGCGTTTTACATGACTGTTTCGGGCAAGTAACAAGAGCACTACTGGTTTAGCACCTCATCGTGGTTGGGAAGCGTTCCTGGGTGTCGGGCTGCAACGTACGGCAGAGGGAGTTATCCCCCGACAGGGTCTCATGAACTGAGAAGGAACCCTGCATTCTTCCATCAGGAAGCCGAGCTAGGAGTAAAGCAATATTAGGATCGACCACCGTCTTGGTATCAAACTAGTTGTATGTTGGCAAATCTCCCTCTGATCCACAAGGGTGACGACTGCCTGTGGTGGTGACGATCTGGGACAGACTTTCGCCAGGCTGACCTTGATGCTCCAGGGAAGCACAATAGCTGTACCAGCGAAAATCCAAGAAATGGCGAATGTGCTGGGTCCCGCCCCACAACCCGTGAGGACACGCCGTCCAAGTATCCAAGTAAGTAATAACAAGGAGTTAGAATCCTTTCGAAGGATATGGACATTTATATACATTTTCTGTTTAAGTAAGGAATGGAAAAATGGTTAGTTATTTATTGAGTTTAATTTGTATAATAGTGCAAGAATGTTTTTGTTGTTGGGTAGGCTGGGAGGGGAATCTGTAGCATCTATTGTTACCGTAATATTTGGAAACAGTGTTAACTTTATAACGTCTTCACCATACTGGACACGTTGTGGACTTGTCTACTGTGCCGTATTAGTTTACAGTTGAGCATATCGCATCACTTCGTAGTTGTGTTGATATCCTTGCGTAAATTGTATTGTATGCTGCACTTCGATTCTCCTAAAAGTCTGCAGCTTCGGAATTCTATGCAGAAAATGGGCCTTTAAATATATAATATATATGAGAAAGCGGGTCGTGTCTGCATGAAAGATTAAGGACCATGTAAATATTTTCCGTTTACATGAGTCATGCAGGATTTGGCACAGATCGCTTGCTTGGCTCTGATATATTGGTGAGCCTGTGGTAAAGACTTGGGTACGCTGTAGCACGATTATCTCGGCATACTGTGTACAAGGATGCTTGAACAGCACCCAGCATTTCAGTTAGAAAGGATGATGAAAGGCTCCTAAGCCGTTACCAAATCCTTTTGCGGAACCGAACTTTTTCACTGATTATGGTTATAGGAAAACGAAACAAGTAGAAGTGTTGCGGCTTATGTGAAAGCGGATCATTCAGATAACTGGTGGCGGAGCCATGCTATGCACAGGTGAGTGCGATTATGTGTGATTTGCGGTCCATTAGATATTACCAAGGTGACTAAGAAGGAGTAGTTAACGAGAAGAAAGAAGTCCGAATTGCTTGTGGAAACGTTCGTAGGAGGAATTTTTAAGACTATATGATATTTTTGCTTTAAGATCGAGGTTTTCTCTGGGGAACTCAAACTTGATATTGATAAGAGATAACAATGTTAACTTTTTATTTACTGCCTGTTACAACTTTTTCACTGCAGGGTATGTGTGGTACAAGTGGTTAGAAGTGCCCAGTAATCCATAGGAGTTCGCCTCGGCGTCTCAGGCTCAGTAAACCTTCCCATCTCTCCGGAGCTGACAAATTAATACCAAACTTGTCTGGGAGGATAGGAGCACTGCCGCGATTCATTGGTAGGCCACCATGAATCATTGTAAAGGATAGATATAAATTCGGTCACTTCTAACGATGCTTAGTGAAGTCAACTGCATGGTGCCTCCCTTAGGGACTGATCAACTCCGAGGGTTTTATTCTTTCCCTTTTATTTAACCTAACGCATTTGTCTAGACGGGTATTTTTATGGTAGTAGTTTTATGTTTAAGTTTACAAGAACAGATCAGTTGCTTCACAGTTTAAAAAAATCTGAACTATTAGGTTCATTTTAGTTGAGTTTAGTTTTTATATGCGGTGAATTATCAGATGTTAGCAACGTGCAAGTCTGTCGAGCAATTCATGATGTAAATCTCAGTGACTATATTGTGAAGTTTTGGCAACATTTTTTTAAAGATAGCTCAACAATTTTTTCAAAATTTTTTGAAAGATCGATATTTGAGGATTTTTGAAATCTTTCCACTTCGGTCATCAGTCACAATCGAAGTGATTGCGGGGTATAACTCGTAACAGAAAGCGATTAATCGCCACAAGTAAATATGTATCCTTATGAAACTGTTTTCCTAATATCTTTATGCTCTTCAGCTCAGTTACGTTTTTTAATATTGTTTTTCAGAAAAGAAGATGCATGTATAATGATTAGTACTTGGCATTTCGGTGTAGTCGCAAGAAAGTGGGGTGTGCTATCAACGACATGCTGTCTCAAAGCCATCTGCTTAATTTTCGACAGGTGTCCATGTTTTTGTGAAATGTCTTCCTAGCAATTGCTATCATCTTGGAAATGTTATGATCCATTCGTCTCATTCATTTTTTCTACTTCATCCATGTTTTATCATCCTGTTCATGTTTGTGCGGTTTTTTAGGAGTCAATTTCGCCGATTACTTTTCTAATGTTGGTTGAACGTAATGATATCATATTAAAGTGCGAATTGCTAGAAAAGCAACAAATAATTGAAACTAGAGTGATATGATAAGCGCTTTGTAAATATTTAGCCGACCGTTGCTCTTTTTCTGGAAAAAAAAAGTGCGGTAGAAAGCTATTAGCTTCTGAAATCATTTTGTTATTAACGGGCTATGTTTCTTTACTAGAAAGAAATCGAAGCAGTATATGTAGTGTCATTTTCAAACAATAGGCAGTAGCCTTGAAGAATCAAATCTAGCACAGATAAACTGTATGGACGTTTAGAAAAATTAGGCAAATTAACGTATTCCGGTGATGACGATCTTTGTAGGTTAGATAGCTGTCACTTCCTAGGTGTTCACTTCTTGTTTAGACGTGGTTTCGTTTTCCTTCACTCATTTGCTTCACTATGCATATTTTTTCTTGTTATTGGTGATGAATTCCTTTCGATATGTATTGGCATAGCCTGATATCACATTATCGCCGTCATCGGCCATTACTCATCGTTACGGTAGAAATAAAGTTGATCATCATTCTCTGCTAAACTGTTTCCTTTATATAATTATTCCTTCCTTGTACATTATAAAAGTTTATCTAACGACCTTATGTAAGCTCAGGAATACAAGGAATTATCGATTATTCATGTCTTTAATGAATGTCGGTTTATGAAGAAGGACTTCCTTTGTCTTCATATGATTCCTATTGCGCTTTTTCTCCTTTCTTTGCTAATAGAATTCCTTTCAGTATCACAATGCTTAACTTTTTATTTACTTTCTGCTCTTTTTTAATGGTAGGGTATTATATGAAATACAACCATAGGGATGCTGAAATATGGGCAAAACTCGAAATCATAGTTGGATTTTGAACACGCGATTACCCTTTCCGGGCCTCACATGCTATCCACTATACCTTCAGCGTGTTAATATAAATTCGTTAACCTGGGAAGTGAATATTTTAACTGAGAGCGAAATACAGTCAGGTGGATTTTCGTATTGTCGTCGTAGCTTGCTCTTCACGTATGACAATTCGTTCACGTGTGATACTTGATATTTATGCTATTTTTGATACAATTCAAATAAGCTGAGAGCGTTATGTCTTATCAAAATTGTTATATTGCTATTCATTATTTTTAAGTATGTTAGTATAACGATATTCTCCGAGCACATGAGGTCGACTTTTTAAAATCTCTTTTCATTAAGGATGTGGAAAAAAAGAGTCACATTCCGTAAGTATACATGCTTGTTATTCAGTAATGGATCAAATGATGCAGATTTATAAGGAAGAAATCACTGTCAGTGTGGATAGGTGTTCATCAAGTGTTTACCTCAGAAACGATTTATTAATATTTACTTAGTCGTGAGTTGGTTGATCAGAATTTAACTCTAACTTTCTATTTTGTTTCTATGGCACATGTTACGCTGCGATTAGAGGTGTCATGCAAATACACACGTGGTTGATGGTTCACTGGTTTAGTTCGGCTCCCTGGGTTCAACAAACCTTTTATCCCTACAGGGTCAGCAAATTCGTTGCAAACTTGTTTAGAAGAATAGGAGATAGTAACATGGAACACCGTTATGTCATCCCACCTAGATTCCTTGAATTTATAACGAAGTGCGATCTCTTGCTCATCATTGCTATTTGACATTGAGTGATGAATGCTTTAAAAAGAAGTCACCAGCTAACCAGTAGTCGAAATGACCTCACTGAACGCGCTTTTCCGTATCTCTGTGGCAAACTTGTGACTTAATAGGTTCCATTTGACCTTTAGTATTGCAAATTCGCGCGAACTTGTGTTGTCATTCACCAGGGAATAGTTGGGTATCGATTCTGTGGAAAAAGTGGGATTTTGGTCCGGTTGTCTGCTGCTAATTCTTCGTTTGTCTTCTTTGTTGGGCCAGCGCATCGTCAATACTTGTCGAACTCTACACTTTGTATGACGGCCACTATTATGTTCTCGTGTA